CACACACAGAGTGTTTGTGGGCTCTGACTCATCTCAGGGTGTGACAGAGTTTAGAGGAATGTGTGTTTCTAAAGTGATTTTATAATCATCATGAGGACATTAGACCCTGTGGGAGCTCAGATCAGACCGGGACAAACTCGGGCCAAACCGACCGCCAGCTGCTGAGTCTGCACTCCGAGGCTAACAGCTAGCAGCTAACAGCCTGTAAACTTCCCACCCTCCTGGGCCTCCGCCCTGCTAACGGCGAACATTAATCGGTAACCCAGCTGGGAGCGGCTTGGAGCTCCGCCACACCCGCAGCCACACTCGGTAAACAAAGTGTCCTGCACAAGTGCGCTGTTTACAAACAAACAACCGAGCTACACGAAAACAAACTTCGCTGCCGCAGCGCTAGTTAGCATGCTACTAGCTGCAGCCGCTCGCTCTCATTAAACACCTGGCTAACTAGCTAGCGTCTGCAGCTAACTAGCGGGGAGCAGAGGAGGACGGAGCGGCACGTCGATACTCCAGAGGACACGGAGGAAGTTTGAGGAGACGCTGCGGGTGGAGATCGGATCGTTTCCACCCCCACACCGACACCCAGCAGCGGCCCCGAGCCGCGGACTCTCGGAGAGGAGAGGCCGCGGGTCGCACTGACCTGAAGGAGGAAGCTGAGTCCGTCCACTGGGGAGCTCCGCTGGCAGCGACCGCAGACGGTGCAGTCCTCCGGTCCGGGGTTTCCTGACTGTCCGTAGCCCAGCTGCTGTCGGTGCCTTCGCTTCGCCGGTGCGTGGACCCACTTTTAAACTGTTTAACGCTTAAACGCAGCACGGAGGTGCGCGCGCCTCACCTAACTACATAGTAAAGCTCCCGATCGAGCACGCGCACGTCAACCTGCGGCTGTGCGTAATGACGTAGCAGTCCTAGCCTGAGCATCAACAACATGTAGGTTCGGTTTTAGCGACACCCAGAGGGCCGACACGCTTCATCAGTATGGACGATGATGGCTCAACGGCACGAAGGCAAGAAGGTCCCGGGTTTGAATCCGAGCAGGGTTCCAGGTCTGTGCTAAGCACCTCACAAGAACGGACTTTACACTTTACGTGTTGAGACTTAAAAGCCACGGAGTTCACCCGAAATAACCCAAAAGACTAAAGGTGTAAATCCACAGAGACAGCAGGTCAGCTGATCACAGCCTGCACACCAACACAATCCTCTGCAGCTCTCAGTAGAAATGATCGTTAGTTTGATTGTTTTCCCCACACGGAATCATTACACTGATCTTCGGGTTCCCCACCCACTGAATCCACAGTCCACTGTGACTGTGCACAGTCTGTTTAGGTGTGGAGGGAAGTCACACTGTGTAATCTTGACAACAGAAACTCATTATTTTTTAATTCTCTGTCAGTGCGGGTTTCCTACATAACAGATTCAAACTGAGTTCATACAGAATTACATTGGATTAATATTTGCATTTTCATGTACTAATTTTGTTTCATACAGCACGAGGTTCAGTTTCCTTTGTAACTGTAGACTTGTCCTTCAAGGAGCTACTTGTTACTTTCCTATGCTGAGTATACTTCAGAGCAGTACTTTTTCACTTTTACTTCAGTGAAAAAGTTGCTTCAGTACTTCAACTTTTACTGGAGTATTTTTAATCAGAATGTCTTTATTGTCATTGCTGCAGGTACGAGAGCAATCGTGGCTCAAAGAGTTTGCAGTTTGTCTTGTAACCTGAAGGTTGCCGGTTCGAGCCATGACTCGGACAGTCTCGTTGGTTGTGTCCTTGGACAAGACACTTCACCTACCGCCTGCTTTGAGGGCCCCGAAAGCGCTATATAAATGCAATCCCTTATTATTATTAAAAGCGGTTTCCAATCAGTGCATCATCCATAAAAACATTTTAAAAAATCTTTATGTATTAGAAGTAAAGAGAGTCTGTACTTTTGCCACCTCTGTGAATGACTCAGGTAAACTCTTCCTCAGAGCTACTGGCTGTGCTGACACGCTAACTTTAAAGTAATTCTATTTTTTTCGAGCGTATGTAGGAGAACTAGGGACACATTTGTTCCTGAATGTAGCTCTGACAGTCCGTCATAGATTTCTTTCTTTGTTTGCATGTTTTCCCACGTGTTTGCACGGCTTCTCTCCGGCTACCTCCAACAGTCAGTTCCACACTGCTGGTCAGTGTTTGTCAAGTTACTTGAAAGAAGTAATCAGTAACTAATTACTGATTACTTCCCCAAAAAAGTAATCCAGTTACTTTACTGATTACTTATTTTCTAAAGTAATTAATTACTTAGTTACTTTTTAAAAACACGATTTACAACCTGAAGAGGTGATAAAGCGATAGATCTTTCAGCCCAATCCTACTTTTTCTGCATAATCCATCATACAAAATGTAATCAAATGGAAAAGTCTCTTTTTTCTTAAACTTGTTTTATTAGTTTTAATCTTTTAACTTTATGCATCAAGCAAAAATTTAATTATATGCAACATTCTCTGAGTTGAATAAATTAGTTTAACATTTAAACCTATTTTCTGCACATTCCAGCACATAGAATAAAATATTTTTTATGTTTACACTCACTCTTTCAAATAGATGCAAGTAAAACACAGCAGAACATAAATAAAGTCAAAGACTCAGCGGTCCTGTTGCTCTATTTTCACCTGTAAAGCAGGACTGCTGTAGGCGGAGGTTTGCCCTGGTGCAGGTGTGCCGCGGTCAGTTGAAGAATCCGCGAGTTTTTCTATGAGTTTCCCATTATGTCGTAGCTACTCGGTGCCTGCTTGGAAGTTTAGGGGTTTTTTCGCTGTAAAAAGAAGTTTTCTTCCCACGCACGATGGACGCTAACGTTTTTGTCACTTTTTAAGGAATCAAACTCAAAGTAAGGTCAGTACTTCCACGCTTTAAACGCTGCACGCTCATACTCTCTCCCACAATCGATATGTGATCCACTGTTGATCTGCACACAGCTGTTGTCACTAACGGCGCACTCGCTTACGTCACTGTCGTGAGACATTCTCGCAAAAAAAATCATAGTTTTAGTAACGCAGTAACGCAGCGTTCCTACGGGAAAGTAACGGTAATCTAATTACCGTTTTTGCAATAGTAATCCCTTACTTTACTCGTTACTCGAAAAAAGTAATCAGATTACAGATTGCAGTAACGCGTTACTTACTGCCCATCTCTGCTGCTGGTAGGTGTGAATGTGAATACCCATGGCGAACCCCGCTTCTCACCTTATGGGGTCGAGGATGGGCTCCAGGCCCCCTGAATTGGATAAGCTGAAGTAAATGGATGGAAGAAAAATGAATTTATTTAAATGTGAATCCAAAACCTTTGCTTGTCACTAAGCTGCCAGGCTCTGAAGCCACGATGCCATTCTTCCTCTCTGTAGTTGTTATGAAGGGGAAACGTCTCTGGACCAGTTTCTTACATTAGGCTGTAAACATGTTTATTTTAACATGGGAATCTGAAGGGACGACTCACCGCTGGACAGTGTTGGGGAGTAACGGAATACATGTACCGCCGTTACGTATTTAAAATACAAAATATGAGTAACTGTATTCCCTTACAGTTACCGTTTAAAAAGGTGGTATTCAGAATACAGTTACTTTGTTGAAATAAATGGAATACACTGGGGTACTTTCCTGTTTCATATTGTCGCGGGTCAGGACTGTTTGGGTTTTGTTTGACAGCTACGTTCTTTTGTTCCAGGCGGCAGCGTTACGGTTGCCATGGTTACAGGGTGACGCTCACTCTCTCTCTGCGACTGTGTGTTTCCTGGGTGAGAGAGCGCATTTCGTTGTTGTTGTGCTAAGCTAACAGGCATAGCTCTAAAGAATGTAGCATCATGGGCAGTGTAGTCCGTGCTGCAGGGAGAATGGACTGCCATACACGTTATGTGTCTGTGAGCGCGAGGAGGGAGAAAAAGGGGAGTGGAAAGGTACGAGTTGTCATTGAGCAAAAACGGGAGCTGGAAGCATGTAAATATAATAATAACCACTTCAGCCAAGAAGAGTGCCTGACGAGCCCAGTTGTAAGTAAGCTATTAAGCTCGACTGTACACTGTGTTCGTGTTTTCCTCCGAAACAATAAGTTCCGTTGGAGCAGCCTTTCGACGCCTGTCTCTGTCTCTCGCAAGAAAAGTTGACCCACACAACAAAGTAAAGCTATTTTTCGGCTACGAGCCGACAGGGACCCCGCCGTATTAGTCAGAGGTCCCTTTACTACAGTTCGGAGTCGCGGACCTTCAGTAATAGTAATAAATCACACAGCAATAGTACATTCACGTAGTTGTAAAAAGCATGATAATATATTAAGTAATCCAAAGTATTCAGAATACGTTACTGTCATTGAGTAACGTAATGGAATACGTTACAGAATACATTTTGGGGCATGTATTCTGTATTCTGTAATGGAATACATTTTAAAAGTAACCTTCCCAACACTGCCGCTGGACCCCTGCTTGACATTAGAGGAACTGCAGGCTGAACGTTTCTGTCAGGTGATAAATAAAACTGGGTATCATCCGCACAGCAATGAAAAATATGCAGTGTTTTCTAAAAGTGTTGTTCCCAGAACATAACCCCGTGGAGCTTCGTGAATAGCTGTTATGTGTAAAAAAACATTCCTTGTTTACGTGAACAAACTTAAGCAAGAGGAGGAAACAAAAAAGTGTCAGACTTTTTTCTCAGAATTCTGATTTTAAAAAAATACGTCCACACTTTTTTTTTCCAGTGGCCCTGATCCTCGTCCCTATAAACTGGAAGATTCAGCCACTCCAGTGCTTCCTGTAACACCAACGCTGTGTTGGAGTCTCTGTTTGAAGCTGCATTAAATGCTGCACTGACATCTCTGCTGTCAGAGGCCATAAGACGGTCTCTGGTAACGCTCACTCACTCCTCTGCAGATGACCCCAGCTGTTTTAAAACTCCTGTTTGAAGAGTTTGTCGTGGTTTAACTAGGCTCATCATTTTCAGGCATCCAGGCAGGACACAGAAATAAGCACAAAACCCAGAATATTAAGTCTTTATTCATTAGACACCTGAACAGAAACATGTGGAAGAATCAAAGCATCTACTGATGATCACCTTCAAACATTCACTGATAATTTCCTCCTGACTGATCTCTGCTGGGTCAGCAGCCTGTCTCAGGGCAACATCTCCAAGTTGACCCTGGACAGCGTGAGGTCGTAGTAGATGCTGAGTCTCTTGATGTCTCTCAGGTTGGTGATACGATGCTTGAAGTCCAGCATGTGAGAGTTGTTGACAGCTACCTTTAACTCCGTGTTGGTGCACAGGATCTTGATCTGGAAGAGAAACATGAGAGACTGTCGTTGGCGTCATCTCCGCCTCACAGAAATCAAACTGAGGATTTTTTAAAGCTGTCTGACCTCAAAATTCTGCCCCGGCACAAACGGGAAGTGCTGCAGCTCCCTCTCCTCTTTGCCCCACTTTTCACCGATGCAGCTGTTTCTGATAATCACCTTCTTGCCGCCCTCGTTGAAGCGAGGGTTGAAGTGGAAGGCGATGTCACGAGCTGTGGCCAGGTCCACCGTGATCCTGATGAATCACAGAGACCTCAGTGAATTACTGACTCTATTAGAGCTTCTCCTCCATCAGGATCTGATTATCTGGATCAATCGTTTCTCTTTTTGGCCGATGTTAATGCGGCGTTAAGCGAAGCAAGTCTGATTTTGCTTCACTGAAACAAGCAAACGAATGCAAACAAATGAAAGTGTAGCTGATGCCTGACCTCGCTCATCCTTGTTAAGGTGAACGAGACACCAGCTGTCCTCACATCTCTCGTTGTTTTTTAATCATGTGTTCACAGCAAACATGAAGGTTTTGTGTGATTATAACTAAAGTTTGTCCAATGAGGTGACATGAGTGCGTTACTACGGGTAACAGCTCACTGTCTTCTTCTACTGCCCTGCTTTCATTGCTGTTACTCAGTAATGACTGGATTTAACCACTGTCAGTTTATCGCTCTGCGCTTCCTGTTTACTCTGCTCTACACCCGCCCGCTCGCTTCGTTAGTCTGACTTCTGCTCTCTCGTCACTATGTGACATCACAGCATTCGTACTGACTTGTCAGCATTGGGTTTGATAGTTCCAGCGATGGTGATCAGCAGCTTGTCGTACACTCCTTGAGGCAGAGGCATATTGAAGGGAACCGTCTGTCAAGAAGAAAACAGCTGTTTACTACATCTGTCCTTCTGCCTGTCCTCTGTTTCCGTCTCTGTTTGGCTCACCAGATTCTGCTGGGGTGCAACAGGAGGAGTGGGTCCAGGTCCGGGTGAAGGGCCTGGACCTGGACCCCAAGGTCCGCTGGGCTGGCTGGGGCCTTGGGGCCAGGTAGGGTTAGCAGGCTGACCTCCAGGCCAGGCTGGAGCAGTGGAACCTCCGGGCCAGGTGGGCTGGTTGGGCTGACCTGAGGTTTCAGTGGAGGCAAAAGTCATTTCCACAAACATTCACCTGTTTATTTAACCTGCGAACATCCACCTGGGCACCACAGGCTAACGTCCACACATAACCCCAGATGGAAGCTGCGAACGGCAATGGCAAAATAACTGTAGGAGACTGTTTGACAGGTGACACCCCACCCTAACCTTAGACAGGTAGAAGGTGACCTGGTGGATGTAAAGAGGCTGCTATTAATGAGGCCTCGTGAAGACTGAAGTCCCTTCAGAGACGTGACTGTCAGAGGTCAGTAAAAGTCTCATTTCTCTACAACGGAGGGTTGGGCTTGTGCTTGGGTTGATCAAGTCAAGTCAGGTGGCTTCATTGTCATTTCAACCATGTGCAGAGTGAAAGGTGTGAAACTCACCGTCAGATTTTCAAACCTCTTACCTGGCCACGCGGGTGCATTGGGCTGTCCGGGCCAGAGACCTCCTCCTGCTTGGTTGTTTCCACCACCGGGCCAGAGACCTCCTCCTGCTGCTGACTGGGTGGTGCCACCATCAAGAGCGTCTGAGAGCTGCAGACACCCAGAAGCAAAGAAACCCTGAGCTCGTTTTGTCCTCGGGACGGTTTCTGACTGAGCACAGTCCCTGAAACACGCAGGGCTAAGGTGCTTCCTTCATTGCCTCCTTTAGCAGAGGGGACATTGGAGCATCCTCTATGAGAGGAAAGGAGGTCATTCCATCCCATAATTCATAGCAGTGCACCGTCAGACAAGGACTGAGGTCACAAAAGTGTTATTAATGGGGTGTTTTTCATTTCATGCCGTTATTGTTTCACCTGTTTCTGTGAGAGGGAAATCATTTCAGTTTCAAAAACTTTTAGTCTAAATGTCCACAGAGTCAGGATTTGTACTCTTCAGCCTTCTTCTTCATCACTTCTGCAGATTCTGAGCCAAATCCTGCCTCACAGGTCTTAGCCGACTGACCACAGATTCTGGATGGGATAAAGATCTGAGGAGTCTGTCTCTGCCAACAGTCTCCTCCCAGTGCTTTAAACAGTAAAGACCCGAAAACAGTAGGAAATAACTTCAACAACCACACTATGAGCAGGTGCTAGGTGATACCGGGAAGGAAGAACTGCATTTTAACAGGAAGAAGCCTGTGCTAGAAAATGCTGGACTTTGTCAAACTGCTCTGGGATCACTGGGAGAAGAAGTCGAGGATGAATTCCACCGAGGGCTGCAGAGGTTATGTACAGGAAGAGTCAACACTTCACAATAAAAGTTTGTAAAACATATGAAACAGTGACTACTCTTCAGTCCGCCACAGAGACAACGTGTCTGAAACACGAGCTGAGACGCTGCCAAAGCTTTGCTACGACCCCACGTCAGTGGTCCAGCTTCACCTCACCGCAGCAGCGCCCGCAACGCCAGAGGGACACGTTTAAGAGACGCTGTCTGACCTTCAGGCCAGAAGTGGCCGTCTGAAGTACCGAGTGCAACTGAACGCACCATGGTTCACACTGAGGGTGTGTTCAGTGACAGACTCTTCTGGAATGTTCTGTATGAACTGGCTCTAAAGAAGGAATAATAACGCCCTGTTCTCACACACACACACACACACACACACACACACACACACA